CTGCATTTAAATGCACTGAACTCTCTTGCTATCGGAACTCCCTGATCTCTTCTTTAAAAATTCTAGATTCTGATCCCATGTGGGCTACTGACTCACTTTTCCACCCCTTGGCATGACCTTCTTGCACCTCAATAATCCCAGCTGGAAAATTAGGTAAAATAAAAACATGATTTCATTAAGAGACAGATGCTTCATTTGACCAGTGCTTTCTTAAGTAAACACATTACAGAGTTTTGTGACACATTTTTAGGAGCTTGCTGTATCCCCTTGTCCATTGGTCACTCTGGGGTCAAGAGCCTGAAATTCTGTTTAACTTGCAGACCAAAGTTTAGAAAAACAACCCGTTTTCTTTCTGAGGTTAATGTTATAAGTCAGCCCTGGTTGTACAGTAATACCTGAGTTGAATAAGAAGCTGAACTAACATTTTCCTTTCAAGTAACATGTCTTCATCCAGGTGAACATTAGCTCAGGTTTTCTAACAGCAGATTCACTTGTGAATTTAGGAAAGCAAGGTGATTTTAAAAATCTATATTTTGAATATTAGAGATTAAATCTATTTAATACAATCACACCCACTTGCCAATTCTAGCTATCATACTAGAGAAAGTATCATGTAACTAGTTGTTTGCTATCTGAACTAACAATATAATTCAAACTCTTATCCCGTAATCTTTGCTTTGACATAATCTACCATGAAATGCATTTCCTTAGCCTAATTGAAATAAATTTCTTCTTGTTGGGTGATGGACACTTAATGGCATGACTTTTATCTTTATGATGTGCTTTAGAGTCTGTTAAGGATAGATCAGTATTTCCCCCAAAAGCACTGACAAATTACACCTTGATTTTAAACAGCAAGATTCAGTTCTGGCGGCTGCCTCACTTGGGAAAATAACGATCAGACAGCTATGATTCTCTAAATTTTACTCTGACCTATCTTAAACCTTTTCTTCCTTATTTAGTGTATACATGCAAATGCCATTAACCAGTGCACCCACTATGCAAGTGTTTTTGGTCCTTAAGTGCCTCGGGATTTTAGGTGAGAAGTTTGCAATTACATGAATTGATAATTAGAGATTCACTAATGAAAATAGTAATATAAACAAGATCACTTCACTTAGTTCAAGCACACAAACTTCTTCAGTCTTTTGCAATCTACTAATTATATTATACATGGTTGCAAATATAAATACTAATTTTCCCGTAAATCAAGACTCTAGGACCTCAACTCGAAACCCTGATAGTGAAATGTTGCCCTAAATCAATCCACTAGGAGTTTTCACTTCCTGTTTTACTGCAGGAACTTTGTTAAGCTTTCTCTAATATCTTCTTTTACCCTCCAAAATCGCTAGGAGACCTCTTTATCTCTCTTTTCCTATATTTTGACTTGAGAGAGATGTATCTCTCTCTCTTTCCAAGGATGACTTCCCGCAGGAGCTGGACAGGAATGAAAATGGAAGAGCCAACAATGGCTCTTCTATGACTCTCTGGAATCCATCCCTCTGTCTCCTCCAAGATCTTACCCCTCAAATAAATTTGCTCTGTGCATTCTAAAAACTCATCATAAAATACATATTTGATGAAAACAACAATGAATCACTTTAAGAGTTATAAACAATTTCTCCAGTATTTTCTTACATTGGCTGTCTTACTCTCTGGGGCACATGTATGAATAGCATCCATGCTAAGCCTGCTGGAGGCAGCTCGTCGGAGGAGAAATGCTTAATCTCCCATCCACATCTGTAATTTTAAAATTCTCTGTGAGTGATTTATGAGCAAACTCTCACTGGAAAGGGCAATGCCCTAGGTAGTCAATGATGTCATGATATATTCTAATTCCCCTTCACTACATATACTTGAAATATATTGCTTTCAGCTAAGACATTGCTTTTTAAATTTCCTAGATTCTGGAATTTTTCTCTTTGAGTCAGTTTTTAGTATTCCTGTGTGTTGTCTTTATTCAGAATGTCCTTTTAAAATAGGTTATACTGCCCTGGCAAGTTTGTTCAATGGTTAGAGCATCAGCCCAAGACTGAAGAGTCTCGGATTCAATTCTGGTAAAGGGCACGTACCTCAGTTGCAGTCTTAATCCTTGTAGGAATGTGTGCAGGAGGCAACCGATCAATGTGTCTCTCTCACATCGATATTTCTCTCTCTGTCTCTCTATACCCCTCCCTTCTACTCTGTCTGAAAAAAAAAAAAAAAACAAGGAAAAAATACCCTCAGCTGAGGATATGCTTTTATGCGTACCTTGCCATTGCAGGGCTCAAAGATATTGCCGATATCATGCCTGACATTGGACGTCTTAGCATAATGATTGGAGGATCCCATTTGCAAATCGCCACTTTTCCTGCTCCTGGTCTTTGCTATGTGTGTCACGTCTTTCCTGAAGGGGATCCAACATCCCTCACATCGATCTTCCATTTTCATTCCTGTCCAGCTCCTGCGGGGAAGTCACATGGGTTGCTCTCACTGTGCCCTGGCTCCAGCTCTGTGGCACTGGCTGCCTGTTCCTCTGGGCGCTTAAAAGTTCTGCAGATTGCCCAGGACTCTCGCTGCCCTTGACAGAGCATGCCTGTCCCAGCCAGCTGACACTTTTTCATGGAGGAGGGACCATTCCTCTGCCCTCCGAGGAGCCCGTGTCTCTTCCAATGGATGCTCAAGCAAGTCCGCTCCTGACCGACTCTCGGGGATCTTACAAAATTCACATCTCCTTTTAGCTCTTGCTGAAGCAGGACTCAGATTCATTCATGCTCAGAATGGCAATATTTCCTGAGGGCCAAATAAGAATTTCTTATCTGTATTTTCAGCAGAAGTGAAGTTGCAGTGCTAAATTAGTAAATGTAGGGAGCATACAAGTCACAGTAGTATGCCAAGTAGCATGCCAAAATCTTCATAAAATTATACCAAATGATTTTAAAATAAACTGCTTTGCTTATGTAACCGAATTTTTAAAAATGATATGCCTTACCACTATAGGAAAGAAAAAAAGTTCAGGTACTCTCCCAGGCCCCTCGAAGTTAATTTGGTATCTGCCACATGGCCTGCATTTTAAATCAGAAACCTAAAACCTACCCTCCAAATGAAGTGACAATCCCTTCATAAAAATGCATATGGCAAGTGCTATTATTTATATAGATTTGTGGGGGGAAATGGCTCTTAGTCCTTTAAATAAATATGATTATTTTATGAAATAGAATGCAAAAAGTACATGCTTTTTTTAAAATAGAAAATAAATATCATATTGCAGAGGTCTCTTTAAGCCATTTCCCCTATCGTTTATGACAAGGGGAACACTCAAGTGTGAAATTTCCCTACAAATCCTAGTGTTAGCTGAGAAGCATCCCGCCTTGAAAAAACCCAAGCAGCACAGAGTGTATTCTCAACCCATGTTCGATGTACTAAGTAACTTTAAACCATGTTAAATAGGGCATGAATGCAAGAGCTGAGCTGTGGGTTCCCTGAAAAACTCAACATACCACCCCCAAACTGGAAGAACCCCTCCAATCTCCAGTTGCATGTTATTTGGGGTGGACTTTGCAGATTGGGATGTGCTTTCCTGTTACCAAATAAAGCGTGACTGCTGGTGGGAAGTTTTCCCTGAGAAAGCTTGCTAGCCTCATAAATGCCATTGAAGCAAACAACCGCTTAAATAGCATGAAAATGTTGAGCCTCGGAAGGTCACCAAGTCCTAGCTACTCCATGTCAGCCACAACAGCAACCAGCTGCTCAGTGGACAGCTTTGTTATGAGGTGCTGGTGATTTAACAAGTTGGCCAAAAGCAGTTGGAATGCGTGAAAGACTTCATCTCTGTTGGGTTTTACTGGTACTCACTGGACTTCTTGGGTGGAGTGATCCAAGTTCTTGCCTTTGGCATTCAGAAACCCACAGAAAATGCATTCATCATTTTTTCTATAGGATTTCCTAATTCCTGTGTAGTGGTTTGTGTATGATTCTATAAACTTTTGCAAAAATGCTACTAGGGGTATCTATTTCTTACTTTTCAGAGTTTCTACACTGCTGCCCCAAATTTATCTTTGCAGAACATTATAGATTTATTGAACAATGACTCTTTATCCTTAGACTATGTAAAAATTAATCTTACATGATAAACAATCCCGTTGGATACAAGAACGTGGTTATGAACTCTGTGCTGGGATACCTAACTTGTAGAATGGTGGTGACTGGGAGCCGGGGAAACATGGCTGAGAGGGATAAATACAAACATCACCCAGCTGAGTGGTTTTAGACAATCACTTACCTTCCCAGTATTTTCCTTTTCTCTTTAAGCTCTAACGCTCCATGATGAGCATCTTGGTGTTTAGGGCTTTTCTTAAATGTAAATGAAACTGTGCCATTTATTTGTGAGGTTTACATTCATAACTCACTCAATAACAAAAAGAAATGAAAGGATGAGACAAGCTTACATTTACAAGCAACCAGAAAGTTATTCATTTCACTTCTCTTTTTTCCCTAATCATCTCGTATAGCTACTTGGCTAAGGAACTAGCAGCCATCTACTAAGTGTTTACAACTTGCAGACATTGAGTTAAAAACAGAAAGTTCAACAGTCAATGGTGGGAAATGTTCTCTGATCTCATGGGGATTTTGATTGTCCAGAGAAGGTGGAAAATTAGACAAATGATCACAATAATATGCAGGGAGGGCTATGACATAATCCCACAGTTGTCTTGCAAATTCTTGATTCTAAATAAGGCCTCATTGCTACATATCATTGAGCATGTGTGCTCCAGATACATTATGGGAACATCTACTCCTTAGTGTCCTTTTTAGATTTCCCCTAGATGTTTACCAAAAGTGACTGCTTCCAACTGTATTCAGCTTTAATGACCCCGGGGGTTCGGTCTCTGTGTGAGAAAGGCAGTTTAAATTAACTCATGTACCATTGTGGGGCGAGAATCAAGTGTTAGTGTAATTGTCACAGAAAAGTAGAATCACAAAAGCACTCTGATTCGCACTTCCTGTCATCTCTCCTGTAGGACATCTCCTTGGCCTCTCACATGACGATTCCAAATTCTGTGAAGAGAACTTTGGCTCTACAGAAGATAAGCGCTTAATGTCTTCCATCCTAACCAGCATCGATGCCTCCAAGCCCTGGTCCAAATGTGCATCAGCCACCATCACCGAGTTCCTGGACGATGGCCACGGTAGGTATTGTTAAGAACAATGGAGGCTTGAAAACAAAACTTAGGATTATTATGAGTTTTCCTTCATTCTATCCTCATGACATTGACCTTGCCCTCTAAGACAATGGTGGTTTAGACAGTGTGAAGAAAAAAAAAAAAAGCAGCAAGAGAACTGACTGTTGGTCTACCATGCCAACATCCTTGGTGGCATTAGAGCAATGATATTTTTGCTTTTGAATTGAAAAGTTCAAAAGAGAAGCAATGTGGGAGACCACACAGAAGGCCTCGCTCGTGGCCTGAAAGCCTGGCTTTTATTCCTTCTTTCACCACTGGCTTCCTGTGAGAACGCTGGCAGACATCTTATATCCCTGCTATTAATACAGCTCGCAGAAGTACTTTGACATGCCTATTAGAGGGTGTGGTTCAGGTGTAGGTGACGTTCTGTCAGATTCCCTTTATGGCCACAGAAAGCCAGGATAGGAAGCACTTTAGATTTGCATTCACTGGACGGATTTGACTTCATCCTCATGGCAGGTTCTCATGAAAGGGGAGTAGAAACTGAAGAACCAAAATAGAAAATCAATCTGAATGGTGAGAAAATACTTCAAGAACTTCAAACGAAAATCTTTGGCTTTCTCATTCAGATCCAGTTCAAGGGCACAGCATGCTTTTATGAAATTCTGTAAACTGAGGATCAGTGGATTTTATTAAAACACTAAGGAAGTAACAGTTTTTAGAAATAAGTTCTGACCCATAAATAATCTTTGAAACAAGGAATTGCAAATTTCCTAGCATTCCTTATTATTTTAAAATACTAGAAACACTGGAGAATAGGCTCATTAGAGTTGAAAGAGAACTTCGGAGACCACTTAGTTCAAGTTTCTCATATTACAGAAAAGAACATATTCTCGTTTCTTGTGGCTTTTTTTTTCCCCTCTTAAAATTTGTCTCTTTGTAAAAGTCATGGTTGAATTGAATATGACAGAAATTGTTGAGCATAATGATTGTCCATAAATTTAACTTTATAATAATTGCCTCAAAGTTGGATAAAGAGAATCTGTAATAACTGTTTTTTCCTAGTTCCACAAAGTTAGGGTTTAATATTTTTATAATTTCTTAGTGAGCTCACCATCTTCAACTTTGACTCCATAATGTCAAAACAATTAAAATTTTAATTTTTTTCAGACAAAAATAAATTCTATTCCGTAGTTCTTTTGTGGCTTGTAGGCAAAATCTGTTCATTAACTCATTTTTTTGCTCTGTTAGTGGAAATGTTTTATCCACTTGGGAATTTTAAAATTTCTTATTTCTGAATATAATCCATGCTCAACTTGGCTTAAAATTTTCCTCAATACAAAATATATGTTTTTTTGTTTATTGAAAGGACATCTCAATATCTCAAAGATTTGAGATAATAATGAGAATTAATGAATTAGGCTTTTCCTTTAGACTAATATAAAGTGGTAATTTTCTGTTTAGCTCAGTTTACAATGTTGATTAAATATTGATAAATTCCTGAAATTAATGTTTATTTTATTATCTGCAAGTGAATGTCTAGTATAGTCCCTCTTGGGTGGAATCGTATTCTCCACCCCTCCCTCCCTTCTTTCCTTCCTTCCTTCCCTCCTCCCTTCTTTCCTCCCTCCGACCGACCCTCCCTTCCTTCCTTCCTTCCTTCCTCCCTTCCTTCCTTCCTTCCTTCCTTCCTTCCTTCCTTCCTTCCTTCCTCCCTTCCTCCCTTCCTTCTTTCCTCCCTTCCTTCCTTCTTCTCTCTCTTTCTTTCTTAAAGCAAATGCCTTTTTAAAAAATATATATTTTTCTTGATCTCAGAGAGAAAGAGAGAGATAGAAACATCAATGATGAAAGAGAGTCACTGATTGGCTGCCTCCTGCATGCCCCACACTGGGATTAGAGCCTGTAACTCAGGCATGTGCCCTGACCGGGAAATAAACTGTGTGACCTCTTGGTCCATAGCTCGACACTCAACCTCTGAGCCATGCCAGCCGGGTCTGTATTCTCTACTCTTACTATTGCTTTCGCTTGGATTTTTTTCCTCAGGCTTTCTGAAAATGAAATCACATTAATATTTTATTTCACCATCACACGTTACACATTCCAACATGTTGAGTTAAACTTTGAATCACTAAATGGGTGGATTTAGTTGCTAAGGCAGCAAATACTTATGGCTAAAATGGGACCAAATTTTTTTCCCTGTGCAAGTATTAGGTCAGTTAATTACAATGCTGTGCAGAATTTTATTTCTTAATACCATAATTTTGGAATGATTCATTTATTTCACATTTGTGGAATCCATGATCTTACTTTCTGTGCAGTAAATATGCTTTTAGTACTATCTTCATTTTCTAATATTACATATTTAAAAGAGTCTATGCTCAGGTTTGTTAGATTTTTGCAACTAACAAATTTACATGTTTTATATATCTCTATGTCTATTCTAAAGGATCTCATGGTATATAACAACCAAGAATATATTTTTAGTGAAAACAGACCTAATTCTCTTGCAGTGATAAAGTCTTATCTGAATTTCTCACTTACATGTTAAACAACCAAATTCAGTTCCCTAAATTGAATTTTGACAGCAAATTCTCTTAAGTGGCTTATTCATTTCATGAAACTTAGACTCTCACTTTTAAATATATTGGTTAGGCAGTCTTGCATTTTAATAACACAACAACAAAACCTTTTTCTCAATAGCCTATAATGAATCAAGAAATTTCAGGATAAAGGGGAAAAAAAAAATAAAGGCCTTATGATAACAAAGCTTTCAATTATGTGCATTCCAAAATAGCATGCAGAGCAGTGCTCTCTGTAAATGTGAATTCAAATAATATAATAACTTTTAAATTGCAACCTGGAAAACTGACTTAAGTGGAAATGTGGCAGTCGGAACTAGTAAATGCAATTTCCGGATGATTGAGGTTCTGACATTTCCACTTCAGAGCTTAGGAGAGAACCAGGAAGAAAGTTGAAGTCCCAGACAATGGAAAAACAAACAGGTAAACACATCTTTGTCAGAAGGCTGAACTGATATAATAAAACCATATCATAAAATTATTTTACTTTACTTATAGGGAGCTACTCAAGCTTTCCACCAGAGCCCTTTTATTCACATTTAGTAGAAATAATATATTTTTTCTCTCTCTTTTTTTTAAATATATTGTTTTTATTGATTTCCGAGAGGAAGGGAGAAGGAGAGAGATAGAAACATCGATGATGAGAGGGAATCATTGATCACCTGCCTCCTGCACACTCCCCATCAGGGATCAAGCCATAACCCGGCCATATACCCTGACCAGGAATCAAACCATGACCACCTCATTCATAGATCAACACTCAACCACTGAGCCAGGCTACTATTTTTTGTTCTCATTTTCTCCACCACCACCAATTTTAAGCAATAATGTAATCATGGCGGGGTGGACTGGACTTCAGACAAGTAAACTAAAAGCAAGAAATAATGTCATTTGACAATAAGGGAGAAACCAGAGAGGCTGTAAGATGTGGTCCTAAAACATTTCAAGCTTAGAGATCTGGCACCATTTTTGCCAAAAGTAAAAACCCTAATCCTACCAGCATGATCCGTGAAGGTACCTCTATATTTCAGCATGATACAAAAACTGATACTCCTTTATTTTAGAAAACTTAAATCGTGACACCAATATAAGGGCAGCAAAGTAACTGCTGTTTTAAATAGATTCTCTCACAACATTTATACAGTTTTTATATGGACTTTATTATCTGGGGAAATCTATGGGTTAAAAAAAAAATAGCTTACCTGTCTCCCTAGCACCTCCAGCAATGCTGGAGAAATTGGGTCTTAAAGTATGATTACATTCAGATCAATTGCTTTATTTTTAAAAGTATTAGCCATAAATAGTCAGACATTTATAGCACTCAGCCATTGCCAAATTAAAATTCATTAATACTGAGTGTTTCCTGATTTCGTTCCAACAAGAGCTATGTAGCAATTAGGTTATGGTTGAAAAGTCAGTGTGCACACTCGAAAATAACTGTGCCTGCAGATTTGTGATTCGGTAAAGGAGAAGCCATATCTCATGGGGATTCCACTTCAACCTGGCTGAGATATTTGCAGACATTCTGCCATGTTTATACAAACTGGATAGGAATGTGATCCTCAAAAATAAAGGGAAGCGCTGGCAGAGAAATTGTGCAGTGAAAGCAGGTTATTGAATTTCCTTTCTTCAATGCTCTGTAACCTTGAAGCCAGAAACAATACTCAGCCCCCGCTGTATCCCTAAGTCTCCAAGCCAGGTGATGAGAAAGGCCACCACCTAAGTAGCCACAGCTCCAGTACGACACCCATGACACAGGCTGCCCAGGAAAATGAAGAGATAACTTTGAAACATTAACATGGAGCATATGTGATGGTCTCATGTACAGTCACTGACTGAACCACAGACCTTTGGAGATAAAATGGTCTTAGAGAATCAATTGTAGAAATCACTTGTAACTACAGTCCATAAAGGTAGTAATATGATCTTAACGCTCAATTTCTTTTCATCTCGATTCCAAATGTATTGGCATCAAGTTGTTCGTAACATCCTCCTTATGTTTTTAATATCTAGGGCATTTGTACTTATATCCTGTTACTTGTTTGTTTCTAAGGTCTTTTTTATGGTTTTATTGATTTTAGAGAGGCAGGGAAAGATACAAAAGGTGATAGAAAAACATCATCAATGGGCTGCCTCCCGCTTGCCTCCTTCTGGAGACTGAGGAAAATCTGGACATGTGCTCTGACCCCTGGGCCAGGAATGGAACCAGTGACTTATTGGTTCATGTGTCAGCATTAAACCACTGAGCTACACCAGCCAGGCTAGGCTCTTATATATTTTTTTTAATTTTAAATATAGTTTCTATACAATATTATGTTAGTTTCAGGTATATAATACAATAATTCACCATTCATATACCTTACAATGTGATCACCCCTCTAAGTCTAATTAGAATTAACATTCAGTTTTTAAGGTAGACCTCATCAGTTCAGAGGCCATTATGGTAGTATCTTGATTTGCACCATACATGTAGTCTTTACTAGAATCTGCAAATAAGACATCTATTTTAAGTCCATGGTGACTTATATGTTTAAAAAGCTAGGCTTTATCCTTTAACATGGATAATTTTTAATCTAATCTCCTTGGCATTGCCTCTGTTTAAAACAGTGTACCTCACGCTTCCAGAAGTTTCACAGACAGAGCCCTTGAGTTACTGTTGGTAGCAACCACTGTGCTTCCTCAATGCCCCTGTCAGTTTACCTATCATCGAGCCCGTAAGGCATCAATTTCTCTGTTGATGTTAAACATTCAAATGAAGACTGAAAGGAGATTTCAGGGCCAGGGAGATGAGGATAAGAAGTGTAGAGTATGCAGTATTGTTAGGCTCCTTTGATTGATTTTTATTAGGAATATTAATTAGTGTCTCCAAGGCCATAGATATTTGGGCCAATGCTTAATTTCCTATCTGCATACCACAAAGGAAAATAAAATAACTACACTGTTAGAAATAGGGAGGAAAACATGAAAATAATAAGGAACCACTAACCTAAGTACAATAATTTTCATTAATCATTAATATGAAAGACAAATAGATATAACAAAACCAAAATTTTTTCTGTTCTATTTCTTTGAGGCATGGCACACTTCCCATAACCCCTTAGTGTGCCTTGTCACCATGGAGAGATGATTCTTTTATTTGTTATCTCAAATCACTGCATTTTACTCTCTAATTTTTCACCTCACTTGTAGCATTTAACTTAACATGGAGAGTAAAAACAAATAAGAAATATAGTTGCTATATAATATCATGTTGGTTTCAAGTATACAAGATAATGATTCAGCATTCATATACCTTTTAGAAACCATCATGTATAGGCACCAAATGTTAAAACAAAACAAAACAAAAAAAGGAAGAAAGGAGGGAGGGAGAAAGGAAAAGCAACTTGGCAGTTAGTGGAACACAGCAAACAGACCAGTGTGGGCAGCCAAGCCCAGATAGGATTTCAGACAAAGGTAAATTAAAAAGCACATTATGTAAATGTAAAAAAGTGGCTGAGAATTAAAAAGAGCAAGAAAAGTCAACAGTAGACTGAAATGAATGATATGAAAAGTTTGACCAATTGCTCTTTCATCTCTCCCCCAAGATGCACACAATTTTTAAGATGGAAAAATCTATATCCAATCCATTGTCTCTGAGATTTTAAATATTTTATACTGTGAGATTCAGAATAAGGCTTTTTATTTTTTTAATTATTCTTTGGCACAGTCTGCCATTTGGTAGAGATGCCTGTACCTGTTTTATAGCTAAAGGTTGTAATTCAAACAAATAGAGGAAATCGACAGATTGAGTCTTTCAGAGTAAAAACAAAGGAAGGCAGCATCAAATCCTAATGTTGAGAACATCAGGGTAATGCATTCATGGCAATTCTGAAGTAAATCACTTGCAGCAAGTCAAGGTCATCCCCAGGTGACCCTCTACCTAAAAACCATCCAGCAGAGATACCACATTTTTCATAGCAAAACAAATGTGTTGTTCATTCTCAAAATTTATACTTTGGCATTAAGTGTTCTAAAGAGATGTCACCTCTTGTACTTGCCTTTTTTTGTAAGCTGATATCAAACTATTTGCATTATACGTTCCTTTTCACTCATCATCTACCAGGGAGGTAGAAAAGAGGTCCCTGACTGCATGTCCACAGAGAGGTGGGGAGTTATTTTGGCTGGAGTCATACCAGGTAGACTGTTGCTACATGCACCCACACATGTAAAGACTTCCCAGCTAATATTTAGTTACCCAGTCTTATGGTCTGTGCTTTTTAGTAAAATTAAAATGTGTGTGTGTTTTTTTTAAAGCAGTACTTTGGAAGAACTGGAAAGCATTCTTGCTGTCTCAGAGATCCGTGCACAGTCTCTTAATGTCAGCAATCTGTTGAGCTTTTCCTGGTTCACACAATGAGTTTTTTATGTATCAGTGAAGATAGGCATTCCATGGGGTTCCAGCAAGCCCAGTCTTCCCCTATCTCCTAAACAAAGCTTCGTGGGGTTTTACTATCATTCTTTCCTATTGACTGGATGGCGATGTTTTTCTTTTAACTCGATGTTTTTCTCCCCAAGTTCTCTTTGGCTGGGTACTTATTTTTTAATGCTTTTTCTGGCTTGCCTTAAGAAGTTTTACCTCTTCAAACGTTCTGGCCCAGAAGTCAAATAGGAACTTTGCTTTTTATTCATTTTCATATAATGCCACCATCACAGATTGACACGTTCTAAGGTATTCGCTTTGAAGAGATGTGGATATAGTAGTTGTGAAAACATTTGCAGTATATTTAACATGTGCTGGATATTTAATTTTTCAGTGGAAAGTGGGATTTAAATAGTATCTTTCTTTTGTTGAATAAAAAGAATCACGCAAATACATCTAAATGGTTGTTATGTTGGGCATAATGGCAACTACCGTTGTTTTGTAGTTTTCTGGTGGCCTCTTACATCTCTTTTAGCTAATTTTACCCTTGTGGTGTCACAGTGAAAAGAGAAACATTTCCCAGAGCTTGAAAAGAAATTAGAGAGAGGTTAACTAAGTTGGCCAAGAACACTCAGCCCCTAGTGTTTTGCCAGAGTTAGACTTTAGACCTGGTGTTTCTACCAGAAGGCACCATACCCACCATTTAAAAGATCACGACCTGTGCTTGCCCTGCAGCAATAAAATCACAAAAATCTATCCACATGCAAAGCAGATGTGAGGTGGTAAAGGATGAGGAGGGCAGACTCTGAGCTTAAAACCCTAATAGCTCTGTGACCCTGGGTAAGTGGTCTGTCTCTATGTTCCTCAGCTTCCTTATCGGTAAAATAAAGGAAGCAATAGAGTCTGCTTGGCAGAGTTCTCATGAGGAATAAGTATTAATAAACTAATATATTTAAGTAGCTGAGAATAGTGTAAATGTGTAAGAGATCTTTGCTATGCTTAGTGCTCTTACTAATCAGCAAGGAAATTCTAAAATCAAGTAAACAAAAAAATATATAGAAAATGGTGGGCAATGTGCAATCATGGGAAATGATGATATCACACACTGAGCAGGGATTCTTAGGGAAGCTTTTGGCAGGTAGGTTTCGGCTTCCGAGATTGCATCATTCACATGGACTGCTGGCTTCTATTGACCCCCAGCTCACTATAAGCGCCCTATATTACTCTGTAATAAGGGCACCCACTTGTTGGGGGCAGACTCATGCCAAACCACAAATACAGACTACATTAGGAAAAACTGACACAAAGGGAAGAAAAGGAAGGAGAAGAGTAAAAGTCGGATCTCGGCCCAAAGATCATTTCTCGATTTCTCCCACTCTTCCTTTATTCTGTAACTCTTGAAAGCTCTTTATTCTTATCAGTCTGGGAGAAATACTTTATTTAGTCTATTTCTTTCACTTTATTGGGAGGCCTTGAGGGCTGGGTCTGGGTTATTTTTCTATTTCCTAATATCTAGTATGTTTACGAGGACGTCATAGGTGCTAACCAAATACGTTGGGCATCAAACCCATTATCATTGTTTTCAGTGAGTGCAAGAATGAAGGAGGTACCTGCTTGTTTATTATTTATGGAGTTAATGAGAAGGGGACAATGGCAGGAACATGAGGAAGAGATAAGTTGAAAGTGGACAATGGGATATAAATAGAGTGCCAAGTGCACACTATTTCTTACTGTTATAAATGTGTATTTATTATTGTTCCTGTTATGTCTGTTATTTTATTTCCTCTACATCTATCTCAGTTTCTTTTTTAAAATATGTATATAGTTTTATTGATTTCAGAGAGGAAGGGAGAGAGAGAGAGAGAGAGAGAGAACACCATCAATGATGAGAGAGAATCATTGATTGGCTGCCTCCTACATCCCACACACTGGGGATCCAGCCCACAACCCAGCCTCCTGGTTCATAGGTTGACATTCAACCACTGAGCCATGCCAACCAGCCGAGCAATCCCAGTTTCTTTAAAAGAATCTCTTAGCACAATGGCTATTTTCACAACTAATTATTACAAACTGCGTTTATTCAGTCATGTCACTGCCATCATTATAGATACCCCAGAGTCAACGCATTACACAGAGGCACCCTGCTCATCCCCACGGGGTCCCTTCCTGAGGGCATCACACTGCAGATCTGTGGCTGCATCATATTTCAACATCAGCTGGAGCACTTCATCTTTTAAATATATTTTTATTATTTTAGAGAGAAAGAGAGAGGGAAAGAGAGAGAAATAATGATGAGAGAGAATCTGCTGGCTCCTGCACTCCCCCTACTGGGAAATGAGCCCACAACTAAGGCAAGTGCCCTTGACCAGATTCAAACCTAGGACCCCCCCAGTCTGCAGGCCGATGTTCTATCCACTGAGCCAAACCTGCTAGGGCTGTAGTTCTTCATCTTTAGATCCATGACTTGAGTGGTTTAAAACCTGCACAAGGAACAGTGGTCAATCTTGGTTATTCTTTCAGGTAACTGTTTGCTAGACCTGCCTCGCAAGCAGATCCTGGGCCCCGAGGAGCTCCCAGGACAGACCTATGATGCCACCCAGCAGTGCAACCTGACCTTCGGGCCCGAGTACTCGGTGTGCCCGGGCATGGATGTGTGTGCCCGCCTCTGGTGCGCGGTGGTGCGCCAGGGCCAGATGGTGTGTCTGACCAAGAAGCTGCCCGCCGTGGAGGGGACCCCGTGTGGGAAAGGGAGGATCTGCCTGCAGGGCAAGTGTGTGGATAAAACCAAGAAAAAGTATTATTCGGTAAGTGGTTTTCCTCCCAGGCAATGCCTGGAGCCCCAAGACCTGAGTCCGTTCCTCTGACATGTGTGGGCTGTTAGCAGGAGGCTTCGTGTCCTAGAGAAACCAGGTTTTCTTGAGAGAGCTATGTCCTGCTTCCTCTTTAACCACAGGCGCCAGGTCCAGCCAGGGCAAAAGTGGAGGAAATGCAGGCACAGGTGACAAATTAGGCTGCAGCCCAGATTCCACCAGTAGGGCCCATTGGGGGAAGTTTCCTTTCAGACTTCTCTTAGCGATGTTATGAGACTGCAATTTTTAATTCATTAAGGAAATAGCAATAGCCCTCACACATGGTCCTCGCACATACTCAGGGAGAACCAAAATCATCCTGCTTCCCCCGCTTAGCAAGTTCATCTAACTTTAGCAGCTAAAGTAGCCCACACCTGCTCCACGGACATGCCCTCCCCCACCCCGCACCCTGCCCATAGTCCACCTTTATGCCAGTAACTGCCACCTTCCTTTTTTTAAATAGGAAACTCTCTTGTTGCCTTCCCTTTTATTTATTTACTATGTTTCGTATTGATTTCAGAGAGGAAGAGAGAAGGAGAGAGAGATACAAACATCAATGATGAGAGAAAATCATTGATTAGCTGCCTCCTGCATGCCCCAGACTGGGGATTGAGCCTGCAACCCGAACATGTGCCCTGACCGGGAATCTAACAGTGACCTCCTGGTTCATAAGTCGACACTGAACCACTGAGCCACACGGCTGGGCTGCCAACTTCATTTGTAAGGCCCAAAGTTTCTGTTGACACTCACCCTCACAATGTTCTAAGCTCCTGGAACAGTGATTTTCAACTTTTTTCATCTCCTGGCACATATACACTAATTAGTAAACTTCTGTGGCATAACATATTTTTTCTCTATCTGACCAAAACAACAACAACAAAAAAGTATAATTTTTTCCCTGTTCTTAAATTTTATTTTATTTATTTTTCACTAATGGCCTGATGCACGAATGAAGATTCGTGCAAGAATGGATCTTTGTTACACTGGCTGCTGCCACTGCCTTTGCCTTTCTGCTCCAGTCCAGAACTGCCTTTCTGCCTTCCCACACTGCTCAGAGGCCCAGAGAGGCTGGTGTGGAACAGAATGCAAGCATCCTTCCCTGTCCCCAGCCCCTCCATGCCTATATATGCAAATTAACCTATCTTTGTTGGGTTAATTTGCATGCTCACTCCTGATTGGCTGGTGGGGTGTCACAAAGTTATGGTTAATTAGCATGTTTCTCTTTTATTAGGTAGATTGTTGACACTATTACAGATGTCCCCCATTCCCTGTACTTTGTCCACCTCCACTCAGCCCCTGCCCCCCTCATCTGGCCTTCACCACACTGTTGTCTGTGTCCATGGACTATGCATATATGTTCTCTGGTTAATCCCTTCACCTTCTTTCATCCAGTCCTTCCCAACACCCTCCCCTCTGTCAACTGTCAGCCTGTTCCTTGTATCCATGTCTCATACCAGACGGCAATTATTGTGTTGGCTGTTGCCATTGTTTATTTGACAATCTAAGGGAAAAGAGGTCACCCCTGACTAAATAGTCAGGTGTTGATGTTTTAAAAATTCTTATAGCATACCAGTTGTGGATTGCTGCACTAGAAGAATGTTGCCATGTGCATGTTGCCTGTATCTTCAAAGGCTAACACCTTCTCAGATCCCCTGACACAGGCAGCCTGAGGGTGTTCTTAACAGGATCCCTCCACAAAGGAGTAGTAATATTCTTCCTTTAAGAGTGCAGCTTCTTTGCTGCAGTGTTTCCAGAGTAATAGGCCTGGAGTGTCTTGGCAGGGCTCTTTGTTTCCCATGGTGTAGGTGCACCTCAATAGCCACCACATTTCCTCTCTAAGCCCTGAGACTCTAATCTAGTTAGGAATTAAGCCACCCCCAGGTCAAGTACGTGGATGCATGTGGCAGAGGGTCTGTCACAGACAGGATGTGTGATGCCAGAGGCACTACAGAACTTCGGTGGGAAAGAGGGAGAACAGATACAATCATAATGAACTCACACCCAGTGCCATGCAGAATCTTTAGCATCATACATTTGTTAAAGGTGCAAGATCAGAATGGATACAAAATCAACCAGGCTTCAGTGGCGATGGACAGAAATGTGCAGTGTCGGGATGCATCAGTTAAAATGGCCAGAGAAACCAGGAGGTCGGTCATTCTTGCAGTGCACTGAGTGCTTAGGGTGAGGCATTAAGAACCTCTAGTGCCAGAGAGAGGGGAAGCAGAGAAGATGGATCGCTTAGAATCAGAAACACACTGTAATTCCAGAACATACACTGAAAATGTACCTCTAAAGGAAGTGTCCGTTGTCACATATGCAAGCAATGTCCCAATGTACATCTGAATGTGTTCTTCCCTTCTGAGCTGACACATCTTCTATTTTCTATTCCAGACATCAAGCCATGGCAACTGGGGGTCCTGGGGGTCCTGGGGCCAGTGTTCTCGCTCATGTGGGGGAGGAGTACAGTTTGCCTATCGCCACTGCAATAACCCAGCACCCAGGAACAGTGGCCGCTACTGCACCGGAAAGAGGGCCATCTACCGATCCTGCAGTGTTACACCCTGCCCCACCAATGGTAGGCCGCTCCCTGGTGTCAGCCACCGCCTGTGTTGTGTCACCTGCAAATCCTACTCTAGCAGTAATGGGTAGGGAAACTGGTGAAATAGCCTATTCATCCTGTACTTCATGATACAATAGGTGAAATAGCCTATTTATCTTGAACTCATCGTTCAACCAGTGTGCAAATCTGTAACAACTACCTGAGTGGCTTTTTAAATTATTATTATAAACATTTGAGTATTCAGGAAGTTGAAAGAAAATAATGGCTACTTTCAACTCCGTGTATAGATAAAAGTCTTTCGACACTGGTATGTAAAGAAGCTCAGAAAGAAGACAATTTTTTCTTAAAATGACTGAAATGCAGCCAAAACCGGTTTGGCTCAGTGGATAGAGCATTGGCCTGAGGACTGAAAGGTCCTAGGTTCGATTCTGGTCAAGGGCATGTACCTTAGTTGCAGGCACATCCCCAGTGGGGGGTGTGCAAGAGGCAGCTGATCAATGATTCTCTCTCAACGGTGTTTCTGACGCTCTATCCCTCTCTCTTCCTTTCTGTAAAAAATCAATAAAGTATATCTTTTAAAAAAAATGACTGAAATGCACAAGAATGTAGGTAAGTTGCAGAATAGTAGAGTCATAACGCGATGCGTTTGTTTTTTAGGTAAATCTTTTCGTCATGAGCAGTGCGAGGCCAAAAATGGATATCAGTCGGATGCGAAAGGAGTCAAAACATTCGTGGAATGGGTTCCCAAGTATGCCGGCGTCCTGCCGGGGGACGTGTGCAAGCTGACCTGCAGGGCCAAGGGCACAGGCTACTATGTGGTATTTTCTCCAAAGGCAAGTCACTGCCCAGACATAATAGGCATCGTCGGCAGAAATCATTTGGTAGAAGGCAGCCTACAGACACCAACTGCAAACAGTCATTATTTTGGGGTGGCCAGATTTAGAAGGATTTTTTTTTATCTCTACAATTTCTATTTTCAAATTTTATACAATGAATAAAAAATTTTTGTAAGCAGAACAAGTCAGTGTTTTAAGAGCTGTTTTTGAAAAGGGTAACTCATCAAGTCAGGTCAGATGTGACCTTAAGTTCAAAATAGCCCTGAAATCAGCTGGTATTTTCAAGGTATATTTGTAAAGGGGACTGTGTAGCAAGAAAGCTTTTCTATCTCTTTATTATTTACTTAAGAATTTTGTTAGAGATTCATAAAGATAGATCTCAAGATCATTGTCTGTGAACTAGACTTTTCAAAATATATATGTTTTATTGATTTTAGAGAGGAAGGGAGAGGGAGGGAGAGAGAGGGAGAAACATCAATAATGAAAGAGAATCATTGGTGATCTACCTCCTGCATGCCCCCTACTGGGGATCAAGCCTGCAACCCAGGCATGTGCCCTTGGCCAGAATCAAACCTGGGACCCTTCAGTCCACAGGCAGATGCTCTATCCATTGAGCCAAAACAGCCAGGGCTGAACTAGATTTTTAGATGCCTTACACTCAGTATGAATCAATGCCCCTCACTTGTACACATAATATATGAGTGTGAAATTATCCCTTATTTTTCACTGAAGAACATTTTCTAAATTACTGCAGCTTTACTTCTCACAATCAATATTATGCAGCAATTTATCTAATACTGTTTATCTAATTTGCAAACAGATGCTACCTTAATTATTTTTAATTTTTTTTTCAATTATAGGTACGTTAATATTATTTTGTATTAGTTGCAGGTATGCATCATAGTGGTTAGACAATCACATACTTTACAAAGTGTTTCCCTGATATTTCCAGTACCCAGCTGGCACTATACATAGTTATTGACTATATTCCTTATGCCATATATTACATCCCCATGATTATTTTGAAACTACTAATCTGTACTTCTTCATCCCTTCACAGCAGGTGCTACATTTAAATCCGCCTCTGTACCTGACCTTCAGATAGTTCTGACACATTATTGAAAAATAAGTTCATGTCTAACTAATGTAATTTAAAATTATATTTTTTTATTTCAAAATAATACATTTTCATTTTTTAAAAATAGTACAGAGAAATAAAAACAAAAATATCACCTGGAAATATAGCAATCTAGACAGCAGTTAACCTGTGAAATTTACCATACTTCAATATATACATGCTCACATATACTCACACAAAGATTTTTGTATATTCACAAAAATATATGTTATATATATGTTATATATATGTCATATATATATATATATATATATGACATGTTATTTATCTACACTCACATGCACAAACCAGAAGTAGTCCATGCACATCCTATTTTATAACTAGCTTTTTGAATATGCTGGAGGCCTGGTGCACAAATTTGTGCACAGGTGGGGTCCAGCTGGTCTGCTTCTATGCTTCTATGAGGGCCCATCGGACTGGGCCAGCATGAGGGAGGGGCTACAAGTGATTGGCTGGCTGGCCCCACCCCCAATTGGGGTGTTGGGAGCCAATTGGGAGCCAGGCCAGAGGAGGGAGGGGAGGAGTGATAAGGACCTGGATCAAGTTGGTTGGCTCCTGCAGTGTGCATCATAACCACTGGTCATTCTAGTCATTCTGCCGTTCCAGTCTCTGGGCTTTTATATATATAGATAGATGTTAATTCATTTTCTTCCAGTAAGTAGTTCTCAGTGACTTCCCCAGACTCCTTTTCCTACACTAATTTGTCTCAATTTCAGCATCTGTCAGATTGACACAACAGGGACTGCTTTCCAACCATTACATAGTTTTGCAGGCCAGGTTTAGGTTTTCCAATTTGTTGCTATATTAATAATTATGCGACAAAGAAAGGTCTCCTGCTCATATTCTGCTCTTGAAGCAACTGACAGACCCACAAACTAAGTGGAAAGATCGCTTTGCTCAGGGTAATAAGGAGAGGCTGTACAATGCGATGTGGTATGCATAGAGAAATGGAGATGAATACCTGGGGTGTCTCAACACATTCATAATTAAGCTCAAAAGAGAAAGTGTATAACTGAGACTTATCTCAGATCCTCTGCCATCATGTAAATGATTTTTCAGTTAGATGCTCCTGAAAACTATAGTTTTTTGGTTCTTTGTTTATTTCTCAACTTAATATCTATTCCAATCAAACTTAAAACTCACAAATTTCAATTTGGTCTTTTACCAAAGAAACCTAGTATGTGGGCACAAGTACTGCCCACTGCTAATGTGTTTCTCACACGCAGGTGACCGATGGGACGGAATGTAGGCCATACAGTAACTCTGTCTGCGTCCGGGGGAAGTGTGTGCGGACTGGCTGTGATGGCATCATTGGCTCAAAGCTGCAGTATGACAAGTGTGGAGTGTGTGGAGGAGACAACTCCAGTTGCACAAAGATTATTGGAACCTTCAACAAAAAAAGGTAATATGATGGAACAGTTGCCCATATGTGAATTGAATGAAGCTTTGGACTCTTGCAAAATTGATAAAGGAGGACTCATGTTACATCATGAAATATCTGCAGCAGGAGGGCTAGCAGGGCTCTAACATGTTATGAATATGAGAAGGGAAAAAGAGGAGATGAAAAAATTTCTCCCAAGTGGAAGCTCAAACTCTCCTACCTGATTCCTTTACATTTTCCTCTTTATCTCCTTTGCACTATGTTTGATATCAGAATATAACCAGGACTTATTTTCATTTCATTGCTATAAAATATAAATGGCAGAGGGAAATGTTATATGCATGGGAAGATGATGAAAGGAGCACAGATTCAGAGTCAAGAGGCCTGGACTGTAGACCCAGCACAACCGTGAAATTAGTGCTGGAGTGAAAGTGTTCAAATGCTATATATAAGCGCACTTGCTATGCTTTTTACCTAAAACAAGATATCTCCAGCAGCCCTCCTAGCTTTGTTTGAAGCCACTGTAGGTTTATATATCATCTCTTGATATTAGATACTTCCAAAAAAGTCTAGTAATGAAGTATAATCCAAAGTATATTACAGAGGTAAAAATAATGATTCAAGTTGAATGGACAAGCAACATCATCCATCTTCACCAGAGGATATTTTTTCCTTTGATTTTTAGAGAAAGTGAAAGGGAGGGGGAGAGAAAGAAACATCGATGTGAGAGAGACACATCTATTGGTTACCTCCTGTTTCCAACCCAGCTAAGGCTGGGGATTGAATCTGCAAACACAGGTACATGCCCTTGACCAGAACCAGACCCAAGGCACTTCATTGCATGGACTGATGCTATAACTACTGAGAAACACCAGCCATAATTTTTAAAATATATTTTATTGATTTTTTTTTCCAGAGAGGAAGGGAGAGGGGATAGAGAGTTAGAAACATCGATGAGAGAGGAACATCGATCAGCTGCCTCCTGCACACCCCCTACTGGGGATGTGCCCACAACCAAGGTACATGCCCTTGACTGGGACCTTTCACTCTTCAGGCTGACACTCTTATCTACTGAGCCAACCCTGTTAGGGCCAAAAATAATTTTTGAAACCAGTTTTAAAGTCAACTCTTAAATACATTGAAACTCGGTGTTAGAGAATTTCTTTTGGTTTATTCATTTACTAAGTGTTTACTTCTTCTTCTCCCTCCCTCTCTCTTCCGGTCTCCCCTGTGGACATTCCTGCTTCCAGTAAGGGTTACACTGACGTTGTGAGGATCCCCGAAGGGGCCACGCACATAAAAGTCCGACAGTTCAAAGCCAAAGACCAGACCCGGTTCACTGCCTACTTGGCCTTGAAGAAGAAAAACGGCGAGTACCTGATCAACGGCAAGTACATGATCTCCACCTCGGAAACCATCGTCGACCTCAATGGGACGGTCATGAACTACAGCGGCTGGAGCCACAGGGATGACTTCCTGCACGGGATGGGCTACGCCGCCACCAAGGAGATCCTCATCGTGCAGATCCTGGCCACGGACCCGACGAAAGCACTGGATGTCCGTTACAGCTTCTTTGTCCCCAAGAAGTCCACGCAGAGAGGGAACTCTGTGACGAGCCACGGCGGCAATAAGGTGGGATCGCACCCCCCGCAGCTACAGTGGGTGACGGGCCCGTGGCTCGCCTGCTCTCGGTCCTGTGACACGGGCTGGCACACCCGGACGGTGCAGTGCCAGGATGGGAACAGAAAACTAGCAAAGGGATGTCTTCTCTCCCAGAGGCCTTCCGCCTTTAAACAATGTTTGCTGAAGAAGTGCTAGCCTGTGGTCATACCCTGATGCAGAACTAACCCATCAATCCTCACTGGCCAGTCACGGTGGACGAGAGGTCCGCCTAAGTAAGGCACGGAAGGTCTCGCTTCAGGGTCATGGTCAACAGGAGTCCAGTTATTTGCAGGATCCGCTCTCTGCGACAGACGCAGGTGTGCGCCCTTTCGTGTGACAGTGGTGACCCCGGAATTCAGAAAAAAAAAAAAAAAAAACAACCAACAACTGGGGAGTTGACAGCCATCCCCTGGGCCTACGAGAAGGAACAACCATGATGAGTGTAGAACCAGGCAGCATTTGAAGGAGGCAGAACAAGAGTCACCTACCTCTTACAAAATGTCTTCAAAGGCATTGTAGTCCTGTTCACCCACAATACCCAGAAGCTTCTTTTTACTGTTTGTAAATACGCCCTCCCTTGGTATGTCACTTTATATCATTTGGTTCTATTAAAAAAATATATATGTACATATATATATTTCTTTAAAAAAAAAAAAAAGTGCTTGACCAAAGTAGGTCTGCAGCTATTTCAACTCCTTCCAGTTTCTGGAAAGAGCTGTGGATGTTTTACTGGAAAATTCTAAGACCTTGCTGCTGTTTTAATAAGACTTAGTATAACTTTCAGACAACAGGAGATCTAATTTTAGTCAAACATTGTTTTGATGGCAAGCATCTTCTAGAAATTCCGAAAAGGAAAAGGATCTCAGTGTATCTAGTTATTTCAATACATACGTGGGTCTATCTGCTTAAACATTTGATGGCCTGTATTTTTTCAGGCAGCCAGCCAAATTAATGCAAAATTAGGTTGTAGCAATAGTGTTTGTGTGTGTGTGTATGTTATTGGTATTCACGAGTCTAAAAATTAGTTCCCTTCTGTTAGAATTTAAAAGGGGACGGGGGGATTACACTTCACCATTGTTTCCATGTATATTTTCACAATTGCTTTCCCTTTCCTTGGCTCTCATCTGGTATCTCACAATGTGTAATGTATACGAATACACACGGCAAAGAGTTTCCTAATCACATTCACTCTCACTACTGGTATGCCTCTTACCAGCAAGCCTTTAAAAATGTGTTTGTTTTTGTGTGTTTGTTTTGTTCAAAGGTTCTGGAAGATCTTCAAGATTTTCTAATTCTGGTTGACTTAGTTTAATAGGAATATTAAAGATCACTTTAACTGGTAGTTAGCCATATCTAGAGGTGATTACCATTTATGTGGCTAGTGCAAAAAAAAAAAAAAAAGTGGTTATTAATAAGACTGTTTCCACACCATATAGGCAATAATTTCTTGCATGTTTTTAAAAATCCAAGTATACTGATATTGCACTTAATATTTTTTTCCCAATTGGAAAGCATTTGGTTGTATAAGTATGTGTTTAAGTGATGAAATATGGTGATTTTTGAGAAGTTTGTTGCTTTTCTTTTCATAGCCTGTCTAGATAGGTTGTAAGTTTTAATAGTTAGACATGGAAATTTTTTGCAATCAGATGCTAGAAATCTCTTTTTAGACAGTAAACTGTGTCCCTCTACCCAATAGCTCAGAAAATCTAAAGTTTCATTTCATTGGGATTTTGCTTTTTGTGTGAAATATCACAAATTGTTTTTGTAAAATTGTACAATAATAATAATACCAAATGTGCCTATTGTGAAGATTTGCATCTAAGGATATTGGGGGACCATTGTTTGAGTTCCCTTAAGCTCATAAGAGTTTATTTTTATTATAAGATATTTTAATATAAAATAATTATGCAATTCATATTGCTATATCACATTCATTTCAGTGTGTCTCACTGTTTTAAGTATTTTCTTAGGAAATTATTTGGTAGAACAAATAACTATTTTACAAAACTGATCACCATCATTTGGATTTTTATAAACTGACTTGGCTTAAATGTGGTCATTTTTTTCTTAATAAATTATCAGTTGGAGAAATTCGGCCTACACAAGCCAGCTAACCCACATTCAATAGAAGTCAACCAATTATCAGGGACAGGGAACAAAACTATTTAGAATAGTCAGGGGGGGGGGAATTAAAATCATATTGACCATTTAACTATGCAGAGAAAAATTATTAGAGAGACAACATTATTTTTTCGAATTTCAACATAATTTTAATCAAGTAATTCAATTTTGACAAAGTTTAATTTTATCTTTTGTGGGTATATTGACAGCAACATTAAAAGATGATTGAAGAGCAAACATGATTGTCTCCTACTCTGCTTCTCTATACTGGATTCAGAGATTTTTAATATGATTTATCAATGATTCATTTTCCCCCAAATAATGAAGTTTTACACTTTTGATTTGAACAATCCTAGCAAGCAAGCTTAGAGTGAATAAACCACTATTCCATGCTGTTAAGGAAGTTTCTTTATTTTGTATTTTTTTAGTGTTTATTTTTTGTTGTTGTTTTCCTTTTATATGAGTATCAATAGATTGACTAAGGAATGTATGTCTAAACTCCTGATATAAATGATATAGACTGGAAGCTGAAATCAGATAAATTGAGTGTTTGATGAATATAAAGAATGATAAGCAAAGGGGAAATCCTATGTAACACAACCTAGTTCAGTCCAGTTTGACTTAGGAATATTCCTTTCACTTACATAGTTGCAGAGTTGCATATTGAATAAAGAATCTGGGATTCAAGATGTTAGAGACTACTTCCTAAAAAAAAGTTTGTCTGAAAATGCTCAGGTTAGTAAGAATCTAACCTCATTCATAAAACTAAACAGTCCAGACTAAGTTTTATCAAATACAAAGGGAGCTCAGAAAAAAATAACACTTATTTCTTCTAGAACAATGAGATCAAATTAAGCCCTGCATTGTTTTTAGGGACTTAAGGCCATTGATTGAATTTATTCAATGAATTCAATTTACTTTGCCTTCCTGTGGAAACAGTTTTATCACATTAAACTAAGAATTAAGGGATTAATCACAAACAAACAAAGTTGCAGCACTGAAAAAAAAAAAGTAATTTATTGTTTTTGCAACTGGTATGTGAATTTGTGTGATAAAATTATTTATTCTTATTTAACAAAAATATGTGCAAATTCTATATTTAAAATGTTTTGCTGTTGTCCTCTTTTTTAATTTATGCTTCATGTTTGTGTATAAAGTACACTTTGTGAGTTTACATAATATACAGCACTGTTTGCTTTTGTATTTCTTTTTACAGAGAGCTTTCTGTGTGAAACAAGTGTATATGTATATATTCCTCATGCATTTTTATTCTGATATTATACTTTTCCTTTCTAAGAACATTAATTTAATATTTCATGACCAGTAGTGGTCATTAGTTGTAGTTATATTAACAAGTCTTTTGGGTTCCATAAATACTGATTTTCCAAGTCACAAATAAAAACAAACACTTATTTAAGTAACATTCGTCCAAGTTTTAAACTTGGGTACAAAGATAACCTGGAAACTTCCCACTGAAGCTGAGACACAGCTAAGAATCAGGTCTATTCGTTTCACTGATAAACTTGGACAAAGAGTTGCTGATGGGTTTTATGAAAGTTGTATACACATAACCTTCAAGTACTATCAATGATAATAAAACCAAATATTGCCTTTTGCTGCTTTAAAAATTAGTATCACTTAGTCTCTAGTATCTATAGAATTCTATAGATGAGAGTAAACAAATTGGGTTTAATTGATTCCAATGTTAGCAGTCATAACTAGTTCTACAAATATGGGGTCTAATTTGATAAAGGGTGACTTTTTACTACTACCAATGTCTCTCATGGAGTGATAATTGGGCTTGGGGCAGGCAGAGACCCATCAGCTTACCCCTGTCTATGATTTCACAGGCTGGTTACAGCAATAAGGCAGAGCATCCTTGGACACACATTTGACCAGATCAAACTCTGACTCTAATGTTTTTCCCATTGACTCCTTCCATATTATCAGGGTCATTTGTCGTGGTTTAGATGAGGATAGCAGCCAAATTTTAAAAAGCTCAGGACTTGTGCCATGACTTAAGAGTTCATTGTTTGTGAAATAAGATTGAATGTGACAATGACCAAATTTTGCTGATAGTTTGCAGCTGAGTGTGAAATCTCATTGGCAGGATTGGCGAATACTGCCATCCTATTTATAATTAAACTTGAGACCATAAGAATACCTTATATTTTTAACATTTCAAAGATACAAAATAAATGAATAACCGTGAATAAAGAAATGAGGATCCAAAGCTGTAATAAAGGTCAGGGTCAAAGTGATCTATCATTTAGACATACAGAAAAGGAAGTTGGATGTTTTCTTTATTATTTTTCTCATTCACCAACAACCTGTAGTTTTAGATTGTCTATCAAATAGATCAACTTAACTCACTAGTCCACTGGAGAAAAGCAATCTCCCTAAGAGCTTCCTGCTAGCGGGAACAACAGAAATGACTTCTCAAGTTATATCATCATGAAACACAATCGATAATTCAAAATTGTGTTCTGGTCAATTTAGTATATGGGAACATAATGAAATAAAACCCATGCACTAGTGAAACAATACAAGGAAATAGACATGGTGTTCAGACCAGAAAAGCATTTAATCTGGGAAATGTCTTTCTGGTGCCATGATGCCATAACTCTCAAAGATTTTGTGGAAAAAATACATATTTTGTTAGAAGATGCTGATTTTAAAAGAGAATAAGATTGAAATGTATGTGTTAGCTAACGTGGTTAATTGTACCTTCCTAATATACTAGCCCTTTAGCAATAAGTCTGCGGTTGGTGGCCCCTGTCACATAGCTCCAACTGGTCCATGCAGACAACAATGGGTGGATGAAAAAGCAAATAGTGGTCCATTGCCCTATAAGGCACTGTCACATCAGAGTGGCCCAAGTCTAACACTGTGAGAAAACTGTGATTTAGAAATAAAACAGGGCATTCTTTTTTTTTTTTTCCATTTTCCTTTGGCACATCCAATAAACAACTATAATTTTCTTTCAAGGTGCTAACATCTTCAGTGATCAACTGTCAAATGTGGTATTTCTTATT